AGCACACAGGGCAGTGAGCTTCGTTCCTGGCACGCTTGAGAGTGAGCTGCGCTTTGACGGTAGAGATGGAGAGATCAGAGATTTGATCGTCTTAGCTCGTGGGCGTCGCAGAAACCGAAGGATCCGAAGGATCCGAAACCTCGCCATCTCGGCGATCCCGTTAGCTTCCAATCTCTTCCAATGCGATGGCCACCTCTCCAGCAGGTGCCGCATCTGCCGCGCAAAGCGCAAAGACCGCTCACAGCGCTCGCGCTCACCACGCAAGGCCTGGCGTGGTTAGGGACGAAGAAATACCTGATGTGCAGCTCCTGTAGGCTGGCAACCTACAGGCCCTGTAGGTGCAGCGCTGGGCCTGTAGCTTGGGGCCATAAAGAGGATGAAACGGCCATTTGGGTGATGTGGACTGCACATTCCTGCCTACAGCCTTCTTATGGAAATCAGAAGGACCATCATCCGCATTGTAGACTCAACAGCCTGTAGATCAGCCACCTACAGCACATCTGGATGCATTCTGTGCCTGCGACCCACCTGCTCTGGGAGCCATTGCTTTTGTGAAGGGAGCCAGACCATGCCAGTTGTGCAACCCACACCCCTGCTTACGTTGTCAGAGCATGTCGAAGAATTTTCACCAACAACACCCCGCATGCCAGGAACTAGAAATCACTAACTTCCGGCATAAGCTGCTGCTACAGGTCAGAGTTGACCCGCCAGCAGCTCAAAACTATTGTTTCCACAGTAAAGCACCAGCCGGGTAGCCTTCAGCTGTCTGTGAAGAGTCGTATCCACGGCATCATTGGCGATGAAAGCCTTGCTTGATAAGACATCACAACAAAGAAGGCATCCTAACAACAAACAGAACTCATGGTCCACTTCACCTTTTGAAACAAGCTTTAGCAGCACAGTTACTGCACATCCTTTGCACCATCATCTCAACTATGCAGAAGCCTCATAGACTAATAGATCTGTTTTTTCAGCCTCAAGAAAAGAAGGATTAAGCTGTTTCACGGTGGCGGTTCCTTGTTCCCAAAAAGACCACCGGACCACGGACAAAAGGCCGCCCCCCCCCAATCCTTTTCTCTCGGTCCAAGGCACCGAGACGAGGCCTTCTTCCATGTCGCGCTCGTCTTCCGGCGACTCCTGGGGCCGACGCGCGGGCGCTCGGTGTACGCCAGACGCCTGGCATGTTTGGAACATGTGGCCGCTTGTTCGTCCTGCTGGTTCGGCAGATGCCACCAGTGCTTTTCATCACCTAAAAAATGTCCAGAAGATGGACTTTAGTATTCCACAAGATTACGACCTCTCATGCCCAACACCAGCATCCCCGCAACTGGTGGCTTTTGCAAAAAGAGGACATGGCCCGAACGGAGACAAAACCTCTCACCTCCCACAAGAAACATCTTCTTCCTTCTAGAGCCATGCCATGTCCCATGTCCATCACTAAGCCTTGACAGCAGAAGGCTGCTGTCATATCACCCCCTCCCAGCTCCTGCGCAAGCAGCGTGACCTCCGCCACCAGGGGCCTGGCCGCCAGGAAGAGCTGCTCCGCGAAGGCGGAGTTCACCATGCAAGCGGGGATCCCTGGCGTGGGGTTTGGCGCGGTCGAATCGATCTTCCAAAAACTGAGGATTCTTGGTTTGTAGCTCGAAACTGTCCTCTGCGACGAAAAGTGGGGGGGGCATCCAAAGCTGTTTGCTTCGGACGTGGCTATTTTGGCATCGAACGGGGAGGAGATGGGAAAAAACGTGTGATGGGTGATGGGGGTTGTGAATATCTAAAGCAAAAGAATGTTATATAGGTCATGAAAAGCTTCTGTGTCTCATTGAATGGTGCTGACCTAGAGATTGGAGACGTGTTTTCAGTTTAGTGAAGACTGGCGGCCGCCAGGCTTGGTCGGAAGGCCCAACCCAAACCCAAACCCACCACGAGGGTCACTGGCGGACATGGACTCATTGGGTAGAAGAGAGTTCCATGCTCATCTGCCAAATTGGCTGTGGACACACAGGGTTTCGAACGGAAATCCCATTGGAACTCCCATTGGATGTCCCTCAGACTCTGAAGATCCCGGCAAAAGCTGCTGTGCGACATCGCTGGGAGTGGCATTTGATGAAGCTCTCTGTCCAATCACACGGGTTCTGTCTATGTCATGATTCCTGGCCGGAAGGCAAACCTAATAACCCCCAAAGCAAGCCAAGTAAGTAGCGAAGAATTTTGAGGCTTGCAAAAGGAAACCTTCGGCCACCAGCGTTCGTTCACCCCGCCTGGTGGCGTCCGGTCGTGGTGGTAGCCAAAGGGCCTCTCAGGCCCCGCCTGAGCTGCAAAGATCACCGCAAGAGCTCCCTGCGCCTGCGCAAGAAGAAAGCGCAAAGCTGAACCTAACAAGTCCGTCTGAGCCCTGCTGTTGTGAGGGATCAGGTTCGCAGAACCACAAGAGTATCCCGCGAACGGGAATTCACCGTTTGGGTCGATGATTTGCCACTTTGGCACACCAAAGGCTCTTGATCTTCAAATCTGTCGGGTGGATAGTTGGCTAGTTGGATTGAGACTGAGCCAACTCCAACAATACCACTCGGGGCTTCATCACAGCAGCAACAGCAACCCACGAACATCATGGGAACAGACTCGGATGATGTCGGAGGTCTTTTGTGCATGTGGACCAGTCCCATGAAACGGATCTTGGGACTGGTCGTAGCTCTTGTTTGGCTCATGTGTGCTCTACTCTGCAAAGTCGCTGGATTGCAGATTGCGGGTCAGAACCAGGTCAGATCCTCCGCGAACCTATGAGGCGTTGTGCATTTTGGAGGAGGCTTTGCAGTGGAGAAGAGATCCGTATACCACCTTCCACGCCCACAGGTTCTGCGGATCTAGGAAACAAGCCCGTCCTCTGCATTAGCACAAGCCGCAGCAAAGTCTGCCACCTCGTACTGCAAGAGCACAGCTCCCCTTTCTGCCACAGTCGTCAGCGGGCCTGCAATGCAGTCAGGTTGGCGCACAGTGGAAGTGGAAGGGAAGACATACTCAATTTGACTTGCTTGGTAGCAGTTCTCGGCTTCATGGTCAAGGCATGTGAGGCAAGTCTTCACATCACCATTGCGAGCTCATGCTAGCATTGAGAAGTGGAATCCGCATTTGAATGCAATCAAATGATGCTCAAGGGACTTTTCTCCATGGCCAATACAGGAGAACAGGAATTTGTGTCTGTAGACTCCCTAAACTGCAAGGCTTTCAGAGACCTGTCAAAAGGGAAGAGGTCGCAGCAAAAGCATGTTCACGGTGCTTGAAAACACTGACGGTTGACGTTTCTTACCTCAAAAGGCTCCCCCTTCCCAACCACTCCACAGCATCAACATCGCCCGACCAAACTCAGAGCCTTGATAACTTTGGCTTGGCAGCAAAGCATTCCACTCCGCTGCGGCGCCCGGGCAAGCCTAGCACAGCTGGGGCGATGGGTCCGACGTGTCGGGTCCGAAGCTGTTCGGCTTCGTCGCGGTCACCGGGTTTGATGTGAAGCTTTTGCTGAAGCCATGGCGGTCTGCCAAGCCACTTCCAGCCCTTCCTCCAGCCCTTCCTCAGTCTGGCCGAAGCGGCGACTTGGGCACGTCCGATCTTCAAGGAGGTCTGAAAAAATCCAGGACTACCTTCATATCTTGTGGACATCTCCAAGTTCCGGTCATCCAAGTTCTGGTCTGCCAATCCCAAAAAAAGGAGATCCATAACTTAATGTATTCAAAAAAAGAAGCCCCTCTTCCTATGCACTCAACAGAGACTTTTAGATGTTTCGCTGCCCAAGTAGCGACCCGCACGCGCACCGTCTCCACCGACAGAAAGGACAAATCCGGGGCGAGCGCGGCATCCCCCGCCGCCAGCTGATAGCGCAAGCCTTGTTGGCTTTCGGTGGCCTTGACAGGAGCTACAGCTCGGCACGGAGAATGGGCACGGTTTCGGCACGGTTTCGGACGGCACATAGCTGAGGCTGGAAATTGCTGGGATTGGTACTGTAGACCAATATTTGCTGTGCTTGTGATGGATCAAGGAGATCTGGTAGCCCATAGTAAACCAAGAAATGGGAGTACGAAGGTCTATAGAAAAGGAACCATTCAGAGCCTGGGTGGCGTTTTAAAAAATTCTTCCCAACTCTACTGGCTTTTGCCGGATGAAAGGAAAAGCGAAAAGCAATGAAAAAATACAGCAAAACATGCAAAACGCCCACACCTCCAGCCTGGCAATGTCCTGCAAAGGAAGTTTGCGTTGATCTCCAGCTGTGTGTGACCATTTTGGGGCGCCCGCCCATCTTTTGTGCATGCTGCTTGATCGAAAAATGTCTAGCCGCGCCTTCATCATCCATCTTAACTCGAGGCGAAGGTCCTAAGAAAAAAAGAGCCTCCCATGACGAATCCCAGTTCCTAAGCAGTTGAAACGACCTTTGACTAGCTCTTGGGGTCACCAGAGTTCGTCCTGTGAGCCAGCAACAATCCAGCTCCAGATCTCCCAAGACCGTCCTTTTGCAGCTTTTCTAACTTCTCTTTGGTTCGGCTCTGCACGGTGCCCTCCCAATCCGCCAGCGCATGTTCTTCCACCGGGAGCAGCGAGGTGCCCACGCAACTGTACCTGACCGGAGAGGCCTCGGACTGTTTGAAGGTGCTAATGTATTAAGAAACGGAACATAAAGAAAACATCGTTCTCCGAAATTGGTAAGCAACTACCAGTCTACTAATTAGCTTTTGTGGCTTTGAGCAGAGACACAGGGACTTTGGGAACGTCTCGCTCTGGTAGTAAACCTTCACCTGCCCTACTAAGCAACAAAATACGGTTCGGTGTCACCCGAAACAATGGAAGAAGGAGAACTACCATTAACCCACATCCCTACTACTAGGAGCAGGGACGCTACTAGGGGCTCCTGGCATCGCTACTAGGAGCATTCTTACTACTAGGAACAAAGGGCATTTCTACTAGGAGCAAGGATGCTACTAGTAGCTCCTGGCCGAACTACTAGTAACAAGAAGCTACTACAGATCCTTCTCGCCAGCGGTTCTCCCCGATCCGAATCCCCGCCAGCCCATCTGCAGCAGCAGCTGATCTCGCTCCTGCGCAGCGGCAAAAGCCATCCCAGCGCCAAAGGAAAGGAGGAGCACGCTGTCCTCGTGTTTCGGGGCCCGAAGGTCTTGAAGAGAGCTACCTGGAGTGTGAGGAGCCTGAGGAGCCTGAGGAGCTGAGCTTTCGAGAGCTCAGAGGGCGATGTGCAAAAAGAAAACCAACTCGAGCCCGGAGTTCGTGAATTCGTGTTTCATTCATTCTTAGACTTGGTCTCTACATGTCTCTACGTGTCTCTACAGTGGGAAACAACACGTGAGCTCTATAAATGAGGCTCCAAAAAGGAAGAACCGGATGTTCGAGCGCTCACAAATCGCACCGAGCCACCAGAACGAAGCCAGCGAGGTTGGCCACTCCGACGTCCGTGCTCTCGCGCGGTCGAAGAACCACGGCCTCCGAAGCGAGGTTGGCACCGGTCGCGTGAAGGAAACAGCACGGTATACAGTACTACTAGGACCAAGAAGCTACTAGGTGGAGGCCATCGCTATGAGGCTGGAGGCCATCTCTTCTAGTAACAAGAAGCTACTATTGGTTTGCAAAAAAAAATGGTGTGATGTGCATGGTGATGTGTTTCACTCATGGATAAGTGATGAGGCGACTCAAAAACACGTCAAAGAAAACGCCTCATTGTGCACCTGGAGTTGAGGCCGTGGCAAACATGCCCACGGGGGGGTCGGCTAAAAAGCGTGTGCGGATAAGGTGAGCCAGCTGTGGGCAGCCTGCCAGCGCTTCTCGAAACCAACAAGCAGGACCAGCAAGTGAATTCAAGTGAGCTAACATATGCTCGCGTACAAAGTTTTGGTCTGTCTTGGAAGATGAGGAAGAATGTCTCTGAGATCTGTGCAACTTGATGTCTTTTTCGGGGTTCGCCACTTCCCTTTGAAACCGCCAAGGTTTTGACTTGCTTGGGGTAAAGAAGGCTCACACTTCTTGCACTACTACAAGAGAGCTCGACTCAAATAGAAACTCCACGTCATCCCATCGACACAGGCCCCCTCCGTCACTTCGAACGGCCTGTCCACTCAGACTGGCGCCAGGCCACATGCCAGCCCTCTCGGCCCAACAACAAGGGGCCGATGGAATCCAATTGGCTCTTGGCCGTGCCACAGAGCTGCCAGACAGCTGCGCCTGGAAAAGGGTTCGGTCAACCATCGCAGCGAGGCTCCAAAGCTCCCTTCAATGAAAACACAAAAGAATCAACCCAGCATCTTTGAAGCATCGGGCCTCCAAAAAGCATTCAAAAGAATAAGGGATTGCAGGATTCCACTTTGATAGATCTTTGAAGTTCCGTTGTCGTCCCAAACCACTCATCCCACCCCTCCTTCGTCCCGGAAGTCATCCGCCACCCGCTGCAGCGAAGGCCAGACCGCGCCCGGGCAATCCTGTGGCTGCGTATCGCCGGGACGAGGCCGAATCAAGAGAGCTTGGACTGTTGGGATGGAAGTCTGTTGGCTTCTACAGGAGCAGCTTGTTGGGTTGGTAAGATGGATCCAACCAGGTTGGGCTTGCTAGGGTGCCCGGGACAGCCAAGCGCTTGAAGCGTTCTGCAACTTCCTTCAATCTCATGGATTCTTGTTTCGCTTCTTTCGCTCCAACCTCTTTCCTCCCAGCGTTGCAGTGTTGCAACAAAACGACAAAAACCCAAATCCCCAATCCACCAGCCGCTACCACAGCCGCTCTGACAGCCGCCTGTGGTTCATCAATGACCAAGCGCTTCCAAGCGCTTCCGCCGACCCGAAGCTGCGTCACAGCCTCGTAGTCCATGACCTCTACGAGTAGAAGGGGAGGATCAAGTACAGTAGGAGAGAAAACCCAAAGAGAACCCCAGAACGAGAGACCTAAGAAACCACAAGAAACCCAAGGATTCAGCCACCACAGATCTGGGGCATTTCACCTTTAAGCGTTCGGCCAAACGAGGCTGGGTCTACCTGCTACCTCCCTCTTCAGCCAAGAGCATCGAGGCGATGCTAACCTCCACCGCCACTCAGCGACGACCTCCAGCATCGACGCCCGGGATGCGTCGACCGGGTTGCGGGCGCCGCCTCGGCGTCTTGGGCACGTTGCCCGGCGAGCTCCTCCTGCCACTGCCGAAGCAAATGCGCTGGCGCAACGATCCTCAGGATCGTGAAGGAGCTGCAAAGGCCGGGGAGCGCGTGTAGATTCACGGCATTTGGTGCGGTTCAAGGCATTTGCTTCAGGGGGACGTAGCAAAACACGAATGGTCGGACTGAGTTCACACGAATGGCACGGACTCTGTTCTAGAAACAGTGCGCGTGTTTGGGTGTACACATCTAAGAGCTCAGGAAAAAAACTGGTTTCCCTTCCCTCATGGATCATTGGATGGTCAGGCCATGGAATGGGCAACAATTCAGAACTACGTTCTCCTGAGAGTCTGACGACATCTGACGACAAACATTCCAGGACACTCTGCTATGTTCAGCCCAACCTGGACCTACCCTGACCTCACCTGTCAGCACTTTACACACACATATATAGTCGGACGCAGGAACCCAGAAGTGCTGTACCAACGCAGTACGCGCGATGTTGAAACTACAGGTGATATATTATTTTTTTTCTACGCTCCTTTTCTGGGCTCACGAGCTGACCTCATTGGGTCTGAAACAAAGCGGAAGCTGATGGCCTTGTGATGCTCCACACGCCGTTCTTAAGGCCTTGCTGGCACTGAAGCCAGCAGCCTGTGGCAAGGCCTGAGCCTTGCACTTCTGACAGAAAAGCCGCTTTCCTTTCCGCCACATCTGGTGTGTGCTATGCCCCGTCCATCCATCCAAAGGGCACCAGGCTTCATCCCAGCATCTTTCGGTGGCCATGGCTGCAAGTTTCTCCTTGGAAGAGTTCTTGAGCTGACGAATGCTGCACTTGCCACAAACAACATAGTTCGTCTGCAGCTGGAAAAGGTGAGAACCCATGCCAGCCATGGTGCCTTCAAGCAGGCTGTTCACAAAGGATGCTTTGCTGCCCGTGTCGGTTTCCTTGGGAGCACCCCCAACAATGGAAAGTTTCTCCGACATCACACAAACCTCTGTTTGGCCCTGCTGCAGCTCCTCTAGCTTGTTGTGCATAGTCAGGCGCTTCTTGCATTGCTGGCATTGAATGCTGCATCCTTTGGAGATCCACTGGTGTCCCTCACTTCTGCTGCCTTTAAGCAGCCCTTGGAAGGTTGCTTTCTTCTTTTCTCTGGCGGTCTTGCGGATTTCTTTCCCACTTTCCCTGGCTTGATTGAGAAAATGGGTCTTGTCCTCCTGCAAGTGCTGTATGCGCTTGATGATGACCAGCGGTGCAATGCGCTGGTACTTTTCATCTTGTGCCTTCAAAATGGCTTCCTGTTCATGCGGTTGCATGGACAAGGCTACTTCCTGGGCTGCCTTCTTGGCATCCTCCATACGGCTGCGGAGGGACCATTCCGTCTTTGGCATGTCCTTGAGCTGGGCCTGTGAGATGGCCAGGACTTTGATCCTCTGTCTTTGATCCAAAGAGATGAGATCGTTGAAGTCAAAGAAAACCTCTCGATGTCGACTCTGAGTCCAGGCCTCCCAGGCTGTGGTGGAACTGACATGCACGACCACGGGTTGCTGCAGATTCACATAGTGAGCCACCATCCTGATTCCATAGTACCAGGCTCTCGCCCAGCTCTGTGTGCCAGGCAAAATGGTGATGACTGCTCCTTGCCGATACAGCTGTCCACCAATCAAGACATGATGCACCACAGCCACAACAAAATGACGGAGTCTGACATCCTTTGAGGTTGTTGAGATGCCTATGGTGACCACCTCCTGTCTCTTCAAGGCCAGCTCGTCATGCGTGCTCCAGGACCCCCAAGCCTGCACTGCCGCACCTCCTGTGGAGACTTGGAGAGGCGGGATCTGCAGAAGGCCTTGAGCCCAGAATTCTAAGTTCAAACCATGCTCAAGCTCAAAAACATCTTCTGAGGAGAGCTCAGGAAAATGTCGCTTTGTCTCTTTGCACAACCATAGCAAATGGACTGGAGTGGCTGGCTGTCCACAATGAGGGCACTGGAGATGCGAAGTGTGTTCCCCATCGGCTTGCTTCGTGAAAATGGCCCCTTGATGCCAGGTCCTCAAAGCACAAGCATTGCGGCTGTTGAGCTGCTTGCTGTATCTCTGCCATGGCTTCCAGTCCAGCAGCTGTTGCACTTCTTGGAGCATGGCTCTTTGGCTAATACGATGGATTCGATCCCAAACTTCGGCTCGCTTGAGCTCTTGCTTGAGTGCAGGCCAGCGAGAGTGCATGTCGAGCTTGAAATCATCTTGTCCATTGTAGCCCGGCTTGGTCCAGACATGGTGCTGTTCAGTCTGCCATCCGCGCTCCATGAGGTAGCATTGCAAGGCAGCCACTGGACCCTTGGCAACCTGCCAGGGGTATTTGGCCTGCTGCAGCTTGTCCTTCTGAACATGCCATGCTCTCTCAAGATCTTTGGCCAGATGTTCAGGCCATCCACCAAAAAACCGGTGAAAAGCCTTGACCTGGTCCATAAAGGCGCCGTAGTCCGGATCCTGATGCTTTGGGTGCATGTCAAACAGGATGTCAAGATTTCCGGTCTTTTGCAATCCCATCTGCCTGCCCATCGTGGCTCTAATGCGCCTCCTCACCTGTGGTGCTAATCCCATTGCCTCATGTCCCCAACTGATGCCTGCAATGATGCTGCCTTTGTACAGCTTGAGGCGAATGGCACGAAGGGGTATTTTCAGGAGCTGCAACTTTCTTGTTTTCCTGTTGGCTTTGACCCGTCGCTGCTTAATTGTTTGCACTCTCCGAAGTCGTCCCGCAGTGCAGTCCAGGCCTAAGTCCCTCATGACATCATGTACTGCAGGGCCGTCTGGAGGTAGCTGTTGTTTCAAAAGGGCCTTGGCCTTGGAATTGCTCACAACAAATCCAGTCTTCTTCGTAGAGATGACGAGGTCATCCTCTTGGAGCAGCTGTGAAATGTGGTTGTATGCCGAAATGGCCACTCGAACCGCATTTGCTGGGTTGCGGT